AATGTTTGTGTCTATATGTGAATGTGTGTGACTATATGTGTGTCTATATGTGAATGTGTGTGTGTCTATATGTGAATGTGTGTGTCTGTGTGTGTGTGTGTGTCTATATCAGATTCAGTTTATTTGCCATTTGCAGTAAAACCACATAGGAATACATTAGCAAAAGTCTCCAGTGTGCACAGACAAATACAGACATAAAACATTAAAAGACAGATATAAAACAAATAAAACAGTAAACAAATGTCACTGTGAAATTGATCGACTAAAACAGTTCAGAACAAGTGCAAATCATTAAAGTGCTCTGTTCACACTGATAACAGCCTGTGGATAAAAACTGTTAGCGTAACGAGATGTCCTGCATCTCAGAGAGCGATATCTTCTGCCAGAGGGAAGAAGCTGGAACATGGCTTTCCCAGGGTGGCCAGAAGAGTCATTGACAATCCTAAGAGCTTTGTTTAAAAGTCTGGATTTATAAAGAACCTCCAGAACAGGAAGCTCACAGCCCTCTGGTGTCTCCCTCTCTGGTGTCTCCCTCTCTGGTGTCTCCCTCTCTGGTGTCTCCCTCTCTGGTGTCTCCCTCTCTGGTGTCTCCCTCTCTGGTCTCCCTCTCTGGTGTCTCCCTCTCTGGTGTCTCGCTCTCTGGTCTCGCTCTCTGGTCTCGCTCTCTGGTCTCGCTCTCTGGTCTCTCTCTCTGGTCTCTCTCTCTCTGGTCTCTCTCTCTCTGGTCTCCCTCTCTGGTCTCTCGCTCTCTGGTCTCTCTCTCTCTGGTCTCTCTCTCTCTGGTCTCTCTCTCTCTGGTCTCTCTCTCTCTGGTCTCTCTCTCTCTGGTCTCTCTCTCTCTGGTCTCTCTCTCTCTGGTCTCTCTCTCTCTGGTCTCTCTCTCTCTGGTCTCTCTCTCTCTGGTCTCTCTCTCTCTGGTCTCTCTCTCTCTCTCTGGTCTCTCTCTCTCTCTGGTCTCTCTCTCTCTCTCTGGTCTCTCTCTCTCTCTCTGGTCTCTCTCTCTCTCTCTGGTCTCTCTCTCTCTGGTCTCTCTCTCTCTGGTCTCTCTCTCTCTGGTCTCTCTCTCTCTGGTCTCTCTCTCTCTGGTCTCTCTCTCTCTGGTCTCTCTCTCTCTGGTCTCTCTCTCTCTGGTCTCTCTCTCTGGTCTCTCTCTCTCTGGTCTCTCTCTCTGGTCTCTCTCTCTCTGGTCTCTCTCTCTCTGGTCTCTCTCTCTCTGGTCTCTCTCTCTCTGGTCTCTCTCTCTCTGGTCTCTCTCTCTCTCTGGTCTCTCTCTCTCTGGTCTCTCTCTCTCTGGTCTCTCTCTCTCTGGTCTCTCTCTCTCTGGTCTCTCTCTCTCTGGTCTCTCTCTCTCTGGTCTCTCTCTCTCTGGTCTCTCTCTCTCTGGTCTCTCTCTCTCTGGTCTCTCTCTCTCTGGTCTCTCTCTCTGGTCTCTCTCTCTGGTCTCTCTCTCTCTGGTCTCTCTCTCTCTGGTCTCTCTCTCTCTGGTCTCTCTCTCTCTGGTCTCTCTCTCTCTGGTCTCTCTCTCTCTGGTCTCTCTCTCTGGTCTCTCTCTCTGGTCTCTCTCTCTCTGGTCTCTCTCTCTCTGGTCTCTCTCTCTCTGGTCTCTCTCTCTCTGGTCTCTCTCTCTCTGGTCTCTCTCTCTCTGGTCTCTCTCTCTCTGGTCTCTCTCTCTGGTCTCACAGCCCACAGTCCTCTCTGCAGAGCGGAGCACCTTGTTTAAATGCTCTTTTCAGCGATAAAAGTTAAGCAGAATCTTAGAGTTAGTGGTAAATTCTCCAAGTTTACGTATATGTTTATATGTGTGTGCGTAAATTATATATTATAAATATTAGTCTATATGTGTCTGTGTTTCTAAATAAGTGTGTGTGTTTCTATATTTTGTGTCTAAATATGTGTGTGTCCATGCTAACAGAGCACATCTGAAGCGGCGAGAATTGATGGAGAAGAGCTCACGGGTCAAACATGAGAGAGAGGTATGGATACATGTGTGTACATTATAGAGCAGGGGGGGCATTATAGAGCGGGGGGGGGCATTATAGAGCGGGGGGGGGGGCATTATAGAGCGGGGGGGAGGGGGGGCGCCTCGGTGTAACGCAGAGATGCACTGCCTCAGCTGTTTATGATGTAATGCAAACCTGCGCGTCTCACGGCAGCCGAAGCAAACCAAGATGGAGGACCGTGAATTTCTTTAAAAGTTAAAATACGAACGAATTGAGACACGAATGTCACTTTTAATGCAATTTGAGGAGAGATGTTGATGGTTCCGTTTTGTCACATGTGGGTTTTAAAAGCCAAAGTTTTGTTAAATGTATTATTTCCATTATCAACCCGACAGACCAGTTGTAAGCTGTAGAGTGGCCACAGGACGCGTCATCACCAGTGGGGGAGGGTCCCAGCTCAAAAGTGGCCAAAATGACGTGCGCTGACATGCTGCAATACCACCCCGGGCCTGTGGGGGTGGACCCAGAAGAAGAATTATTCGATGCTAACATATAGCGTTAGCAGACCTCTGGAAAACGTCTTTACAGGATGGACCAAAAGTTGTCTCTTGGCCCAAAGCTCCGTTCCACATGTGTGTCAATGCTGAGTGTTCTGGACCAGTCTAGTTTAGTCGCGGGGAATTATTGAAGTCTCTCGTTCAAATGAATGGAGCTCTCTCCGGCTGACACATGCACGGATGCGTTTTTTCACAATTTTCTTGTGGGCGGGACCACTCGCGGCCATCTTGGATTGCTCCATGAAAGCACTTTTCATGGCCAACTCCTATGAACGGCGGAGATAGGCGTGACTCTGTCCGTAATTATATACAGTCTATGGTCAGCAGCCTACGTCAGCAGTCTACGTCAGCAGCCTACGTCAGCAGCCTACGTCAGCAGCCTACGTCAGCAGCCTACGTCAGCAGCCTACGTCAGCAGTCTACGTCAGCAGCCGCGGACTGCTATGAAAACATTAGCTTTGTGGTTTCACAGCAGTTGACTGCTTAAACTAAACTTTGTACGAAACTTCGGCTCTAAACCCACATGTGACAAAACAAAACCATCAACATCTCGCCTCAAATTGCATTAAAAGTGACATTTGTGTCTTAATTCGTTCCTATTTAACTTTTAAAGAAATTCACGGTCGGCCATCTTGGTTTGCTTCGGCTGCCGTGAGACGCGCAGGTTTGCATTACATCATAAACAGCTGAGGCAGTGCGTCTCTGCGTTACACCGGTTATTTATTATTATTTTTGTAATTTTTCTCGTACATAAACAAAGGATCTCTTCATCTTCTGTACATAAACATTCATTTAACTCGGAGGAGACTGTTTAAGGGTCGCAGATGGGAAAAGGTCCGAGGGCCACATGGAACCGTGAATCCGGCCGTATGTGGCTCCCAGGCCATACTTTGTCCTAACAGAGGGGTATTTATAGTTTCAATTGATGGTTTTTAAAAACTGTAAAACCCAATTTCACCGCCCAAAATAACACATGTTTTGATACAGAGTTATATGATTTAAAACACCTGGGAATGGACCCGAGTGTGTTTGTTCTGGGTTGTTTTATTTGGAGAAAAACTTTGTTTTCTTGGCAATTATTAAACATTAGTAAACTCTGGGTCTTACCATGTGTAAACTCTGGGTCTTACCATGTGTAAACTCTGGGTCTTACCATGTGTAAACTCTGGGTCTTACCATGTGTAAACTCTGGGTCTTACCATGTGTAAACTCTGGGTCTTACCATGTGTAAACTCTGGGTTTTACCCATGGATCTATTATATTAACTGGATAGGGTATTACTAGCTTGTAGCTGAATAACTCATGTGCTCAGGGGATTCTCGCGGTACTGCAGACTGAACCAGACTGAACCAGACTAAATTCACGTGGGCTACCCAGAAATTTTCCCCATAGACCTCAATGCATATTAAAACAGCTCCACCTCAGCTGACAGAGAACCTGACAGAGAACCTGACAGAGAACCTGACAGAGAACCTACAGCTTTAATAAAGATAGTATTTTGTGGGGATTTTAGTGTCCCTTGTCATCCTGAACTTTTTTTCTTCTTAAATCCTTCGGTTTTGTTTAAATCCACACTTTAGTGCCACAAACTCTGCTCCTCTGGCTCTCGCTCTAACTCCCGCTCTGATTGGTCAGAGCGCGGCCGAGCCCCTCTGTGCACGTGCGTGAGACCCGGTGTGAGACCCAGACACGCGTGTTTGACGCAATGCATTATGGGAGATCATCCACTGCACAGAACCGGGAGGACCAGACGATGCCCAAATACAGGCGAGTTTCCCATAGATCTTTGAGAGTTTCAGGCAACTTCCGCTAATCTTTCAGCCCCCATGCCGTCACAAAGCGCCACTGAGCACAACCATTCATTTGAATAGGGCGCCATCTTGGATCGCCGGGGTTCGTCTTACCATGTGTAAATTCTGGACCATGGAGAATGTGATAGTAAAATAATCTGTTCTGGTTCAATCCAAATATCAAGAAACTGAAGCCGGAGCAAGAGGAATGTTTAGTAAATGTCATTGAAGCAAAGATTCTGTGGCTCTACTCCCCACGGGCTCCGTTAGTGGCTAAAGCTAGGCAACATGCTAAAGCTAGGCTACATGCTAAATGCCTCACTCACTTTAAAAAAAAAAAATTGTTGTCCAAATGTGTTTTCTATTCAGATGAAGAGATCCTTTATTGGTGCCACTGTGGGGAAATGTCAGTGTTGCAGTGTCAGGACAGCAGGACTGAGGAGCTGAATGAGAGAAATACATAAATGTATACTAAAATGAAATAAGAAATTTAACTTAAAGCATAGAAGACGTACACTTTCTAGTCATACAATCTCTTTCCCCCTCGCCTCACCCTCACCGCCCCCTCCCTCTCCCTCCCCCCCTCTCCCCACAGTGGGGCTGTAATCCGTCTTCTGTCTCTGATGTAGATTTAGCTCATTCTCAGTTTGTGCCAAAGAGCGCCTCCGGGAAACGAGTCGATAGTATCTGAGTTTACTGGCAACCACCAACCATCAACCTAACCAACCATCAACCCAACCACCAAACCAACCATCAACCCAACCATCAACCCAACCACCAAACCAACCATCAACCCAACCATCAACCCAACCAACCATCAACCCAACCACCAAACCAACCATCAACCCAACCACCAAACCAACCATTAACCCAACCACCAAACCAACCAACCAACCATCAACCCAACCACCAAACCAACCATCAACCCAACCATCAACCCAACCACCAAACCAACCATCAACCATCAACCCAACCATCAACCCAACCACCAAACCAACCATCAACCCAACCACCAAACCAACCATCAACCCAACCACCAAACCAACCATCAACCCAACCACCAAACCAACCATCAACCCAACCATCAAACCAACCACCAAACCAACCCAACCATCAACCCAACCACCAAACCATCAAACCACCAAACCAACCATTAACCCAACCACCAAACCAACCAACCATCAACCAAACCAACCACCAACCCAACCACCAAACCACCAAACCAACTACCAAGCATCAAACGACCAAACCAACCATCAACCCAACCACCAAACCAACTACCAACTACCAAGCATCAAACGACCAAACCAACCATCAACCCAACCACCAAACCAACTACCAACCATCAAACGACCAACTACCAACCATCAAACGACCAACTACCAACCATCAACCCAACCACCAAACCAACTACCAACCAAACCATCAAACCAACCATGAAACCAACCATCCACTACACCAACCGCCCAAACCATCAAACCTTCAAAGTTCAAAGTTATCTTTAGAGTCTCTTTGAGGAAAGGGTTTTTCAGAAATCAATTAAAAACAGGCAGAAAGTAAAATCCCAACATTGAAGAGATTTTAGATTTTAGATTCTGTGTGACATTTAAACCTGTTTTTAATGTTTAAGATTTATGCCTCACATGAAAGACGCTGTGAAGCACTTTGTAAGAGTACTCTACAACAAACTTGGAAATTCCTTGGTAACCATGGCTTCCAGCAGCACTCTGACCAATCACTGTCAGTTAGAACACTTTAGTACCAGCTCGGCCTGGATAGAACCAGGACCAAGAGGGACTACGATGAAGAGTAGAGTAAACCCACGAACTCCCAGAGCCGTCATTTTGACTGCTCCCATTCAAACCAATTGAATTTCTCAGAATTCCCGCCTTAAAACTGACTAGTGCTAAAACTGATGAATAACTTTAAATACAGCAAAAACAGTTTGTCGAAATGCTAATGCTAACAACCAAATGCTAACTTCTGCACGTAAACTGTGTGTTGCTATGGTAACTAGTGCTGGCTTTTCTCTATGGCGGAAAATCAAACTGGACCAGAACCAGAACCTTGAAAAACTTCTCACATTGAAACTAAAAGTTATAAATTATATAAAAATAATGACTTGAAATAAACTACATAGAAACAAATTGACTGCCCCTGGGAGGTGAGTGTTGTAGACTCTGGTCACACGGTCAGGCTGGTCACATGACAGTCTCTGCAGGTCAGACGGTTCAGGTCTCAGTATGAACCTGGACTTGGACTCGCTGGATCCACAACAGACTCTTTGTCACAGAAACATCTTCCTGGAAAGAGTCACAGCCACGAATCCATCGACGGAAACACAAACAAGTGAGCGGAAACTGTGGGAAACATTTGTGTGACGGAAAAGAATCCGCTTTTGTTGACAACGTCTGCGGCTGTCAACTTCAAACCAGAGAGAAACCGGGATATTCTTAGTATTTGTATAAAAGTATAAAAACACTATGTTCACGGCTCAGGCCTCTGTCGCCGTAGTAACAGGGGCCTATCTCTAGTTGTTAAAGCCCTTAGATTTTGCCTTTTCTACATGCTTTTAATGGTAAGGGAAACCGGAGCACCTGGAGGTAACCGGAGCACCTTGAGAGAACCGGAGCGCCTGGAGGAAACCTAGGCCAACACCAGGAGAACAAGCAAAAACTCCAACTCCACTCAAACCCATGACCTTTTTCCTGAGAAGAAAATGTGGCCAAACCTACAGGAGAACACCAGATCCTGTCAGACCCTTGAGGCTAAGCAGGGCAGGGCCTGGTTAGTGCTGTGATGGGAGACCTCTGTTAACTGCAGGTGCCACAGTGGGGCGGCTGTGGCTGTAAAGTGCCAAACTGTGGTTGTGTCTGTAAGGTGAATTAAAGGACAGCCAGTCGGACGTTGACCAGCAAACCAGGATATGTAAACATACCCTCCTGAGCATGTTCCATCCTGAGGCTTCAAAGGGACTGTGGGGTCAACCGAGGGTCTACCATTTGCCAGGAAGATTACAGGCGTCAAGCAGAGCAATAAAATCACCAACAGGAATAAACATCGCTGTCTCTGCCTGCCTGAAAGATCAAAGGGGCCAAAGCTCTGCCCCACTCCCAGGGCAGCATGGCCCTGAGACAATCTGTGACTCACCCACGGCGTTCTGGCGCCCCCCAGTGGACACTGAACACTATCACACCCGGGACGGACATTTTAAACCAGCACTCCTGGATTCAATATTCCGATAATCTGTACTGTGTCCTACACGTGTGTATCATTGTCAAGTAATGTAAATGCGGTGTGTGTCTGTACATGTGTTATGATTGTATTAATCCTACATTTGCCATTATAACATGTCTGTTGTGAGGGATGCTCAGGGAGGCGCACAAGGATGACGTCACGGACGCGCCCCCTTTGAACACAGCAAAACCAGACCGCAGACCCCAGGACGATCTCTTGGCTCCCCCTGTAATCACTATAACAGCCTTCCCTTCTGCGTTCCGCGCAGTACGTGTCTCCTACTACGACCGCGCCTGTACGCACCGAGGCCTCCACTCCGCGAGCACAGCCCTCTACTCTGGCTCTGGACCTCACGAACTATTCCACCATCAGCCTCTTTTCTGGCTCTGGACCCTACGCACGCAACGCATTCCGGACTGCGTTGTATATGCGTGGATCAAAGTTGGACTGGATCCGCTGGCTTCGTGTCTCCCTCCTGCCCGGACAAAAGGACACGTGGATGCCCATCCTCCTCCAAACCTCTTCTTCATCCCTCTACGCTGCTCAAAGTAAGACTGTTCCTTGTTGGAAGTGTGATTCGAATGATATGTATACAACCTCTGCTTAATGGGACCAGAAAACCCTTTGTTATATTTTCTATTCTCATTTTTGTAGTCAATAAACCCCGTTATCTTTAACTCAATCACTTCAGCGTCGTGTTTTTAAATCTTGGATATCCCTGGCTGATATACGCACTCACTACCTATTAGATTATAAGACTGATTCAAGGCAAATTAGTTGGATCTGTGCAGAAGTTTTCAAACTCTGCTGGTGCCCAAAATAAAAAGCAGATCCCCCACTCGTGTAGTACGGCAAGACTCTGATCTGGAGACTAGCCGCACTACACTACATCTTACATATTCTTATCCTACATGTCCTTAGGCAAGACACTTCCACCACATTAGAATGAGTCTGGTGTGTGGCTACAGTAAGTTACCACCATGTACAAAGTGAAAGAATAATAACATGTGAAGTGTCAGTTTAAGTACTGTATAAAACCGATGCATTATTATTATTATTATTATTATTAAGTGCTAACTAATCATAATCCATTATATTATGTTTATATGTTATTTTTGACTCTCAACATTGAGTTAAGGCTTTGCTTAGAACCTCCTCCGGTCCACAAAGAACAAGTGTGTATTATTCATTCTCACTGAGGCCTTCTGCAGCAGTTCTTTCATAAATGATGTGTTTGTTGCAGGGTCAGAGCAGTTCAGAGCAGAGTGACAGCTCCTGTTTGGGCTTTTACTAAAGACAATCTTTGGCTCCGGGAGAAACGACAGAAAACAGACGCAGAGAGAGAACGTTTAAGTCCACCCTTTCAGAACAGAGAAGTTTCAGGAATATGCCGCAATGTCGCTGCGGGTCTGTGGGGGTGTACCTGGAAAGAGAATTGCCCAATGCTATGGCACCTTCTTCTCAAAAACTGATTTACAGGTGGCTCATGGTCCCAAAGTGGCTCTTGCCCGGCGGCCATTTTGAAAAAGCCACACAAGGCAAAAGCGAGTTAGCTTAAACAGCGGAGACAGTTGTGATTACGTCCGTTAATATTTACAGTCTATGGTTTTTTCCCACTGCTCTCAGTTTCACCTGGATCTATCGCTTCGACCAATGACAACGCAGGACTTTCAGAGGCGTGTATTAAAAGCTCGCGTGTGATTGGTCCAAGTAATCGCAGATGATTGTGATAAGGATTTTGGACTCTGTTATCGCCATCACAATTTTGGGATATCACAGAACCCAACATCCTTCTCCAGCCTCTAAAAACCAGTTCTCCTTTGTTGTGGGAGTAAGTATTATTTATATAGCGCAGATGATGGTCCAAGGTCAGAGCAGAGACCGTAGACTTTGTGCACTCGCTTCAGCCAATCACGAAGCAGGAGGAGGGCATTTAAAGTAAGATGTAGAGATCTGTTTTTGGTCCCACTGTGGGGAAATTCCAGTGTTGCATCACCAGTTACAGAACAGTAGAATGAGGAGCACACGGGACAAGAGAAATGAACAATAATGATCACAGGCAAAATATGTGGTGAATATACAGGAAAGATGAGTTCAACTTAAGCCAGAATCTACAGCCTCAGTCCTGGGTCCGCGGCCTGCCTCAGTCCTGGGTCCTGGGTCTGCCTCGGTCCAGTCCTGGGTCTGCCTCGGTCCAGTCCTGGGTCTGCGGCCTGCCTCGGTCCTGTCCTGGGTCTGCGGCCTCGCCTCGGTCCTGTCCTGGGTCTGCGGCCTGCCTCGGTCCTGTCCTGGGTCTGCGGCCTGCCTCGGTCCTGTCCTGGGTCTGCGGCCTGCCTCGGTCCTGTCCTGGGTCTGCGGCCTGCCTCGGTCCTGTCCTGGGTCTGCGGCCTGCCTCGGTCCTGTCCTGGGTCTGCGGCCTGCCTCGGTCCTGTCCTGGGTCTGCGGCCTGCCTCGGTCCTGTCCTGGGTCTGCGGCCTGCCTCGGTCCTGTCCTGGGTCTGCGGCCTGCCTCGGTCCTGTCCTGGGTCTGCGGCCTGCCTCGGTCCTGTCCTGGGTCTGCGGCCTGCCTCGGTCCTGTCCTGGGTCTGCGGCCTGCCTCGGTCCTGTCCTGGGTCTGCGGCCTGCCTCGGTCCTGTCCTGGGTCTGCGGCCTGCCTCGGTCCTGTCCTGGGTCTGCGGCCTGCCTCGGTCCTGTCCTGGGTCTGCGGCCTGCCTCGGTCCTGTCCTGGGTCTGCGGCCTGCCTCGGTCCTGTCCTGGTCTGCGGCCTGCCTCGGTCCTGTCCTGGGTCTGCGGCCTGCCTCGGTCCTGTCCTGGGTCTGCGGCCTGCCTCGGTCCTGTCCTGGGTCTGCGGCCTGCCTCGGTCCTGTCCTGGGTCTGCGGCCTGCCTCGGTCCTGTCCTGGGTCTGCGGCCTGCCTCGGTCCTGTCCTGGGTCTGCGGCCTGCCTCGGTCCTGTCCTGGGTCTGCGGCCTGCCTCGGTCCTGTCCTGGGTCTGCGGCCTGCCTCGGTCCTGTCCTGGGTCTGCGGCCTGCCTCGGTCCTGTCCTGGGTCTGCGGCCTGCCTCGGTCCTGTCCTGGGTCTGCGGCCTGCCTCGGTCCTGTCCTGGGTCTGCGGCCTGCCTCGGTCCTGTCCTGGGTCTGCGGCCTGCCTCGGTCCTGTCCTGGGTCTGCGGCCTGCCTCGGTCCTGTCCTGGGTCTGCGGCCTGCCTCGGTCCTGTCCTGGGTCTGCGGCCTGCCTCGGTCCTGTCCTGGGTCTGCGGCCTGCCTCGGTCCTGTCCTGGGTCTGCGGCCTGCCTCGGTCCTGTCCTGGGTCTGCGGCCTGCCTCGGTCCTGTCCTGGGTCTGCGGCCTGCCTCGGTCCTGTCCTGGGTCTGCGGCCTGCCTCGGTCCTGTCCTGGGTCTGCGGCCTGCCTCGGTCCTGTCCTGGGTCTGCGGCCTGCCTCGGTCCTGTCCTGGGTCTGCGGCCTGCCTCGGTCCTGTCCTGGGTCTGCGGCCTGCCTCGGTCCTGTCCTGGGTCTGCGGCCTGCCTCGGTCCTGTCCTGGGTCTGCGGCCTGCCTCGGTCCTGTCCTGGGTCTGCGGCCTGCCTCGGTCCTGTCCTGGGTCTGCGGCCTGCCTCGGTCCTGTCCTGGGTCTGCGGCCTGCCTCGGTCCTGTCCTGGGTCTGCGGCCTGCCTCGGTCCTGTCCTGGGTCTGCGGCCTGCCTCGGTCCTGTCCTGGGTCTGCGGCCTGCCTCGGTCCTGTCCTGGGTCTGCGGCCTGCCTCGGTCCTGTCCTGGGTCTGCGGCCTGCCTCGGTCCTGTCCTGGGTCTGCGGCCTGCCTCGGTCCTGTCCTGGGTCTGCGGCCTGCCTCGGTCCTGTCCTGGGTCTGCGGCCTGCCTCGGTCCTGTCCTGGGTCTGCGGCCTGCCTCGGTCCTGTCCTGGGTCTGCGGCCTGCCTCGGTCCTGTCCTGGGTCTGCGGCCTGCCTCGGTCCTGTCCTGGGTCTGCGGCCTGCCTCGGTCCTGTCCTGGGTCTGCGGCCTGCCTCGGTCCAGTCCTGGGTCTGCCTCGGTCCAGTCCTGGGTCTGCCTCGGTCCAGTCCTGGGTCTGCCTCGGTCCAGTCCTGGGTCTGCCTCGGTCCAGTCCTGGGTCTGCCTCGGTCCAGTCCTGGGTCTGCCTCGGTCCAGTCCTGGGTCTGCCTCGGTCCAGTCCTGGGTCTGCCTCGGTCCAGTCCTGGGTCTGCCTCGGTCCAGTCCTGGGTCTGCCTCGGTCCAGTCCTGGGTCTGCCTCGGTCCAGTCCTGGGTGTTGTATTAAATATAGACTAAAGGCAGATGTGAATTTGATTGACCCGGAATTGAACTCTGTCTCTTTCCCAAGCAAAAAGACCTGGTCTCCCCTTGTTCCTTGGTAGTCCAAAAGTGCAGAAATATGAGTTAATGATAGTTAATCTGGGGGGATTCTGCTAATCCTTTCGTTGTTTGAAGAAGGAGGTGGACCTTGAAAAGCCTCCCGTCTTATCTCAAGGAAGTAATATTTCTATAGAATTAGGGAGGGGTAGTGCATGAATGATTTCTGTTTAGGTCTGGCAGACGGAGGAAAGGCCGGACCCTGGACCGGAAGCTGCCTGATACGACACGCCCCCTTCTTCCTGGACATCTGCTTTTTTATGTTTGGGCTGGAGGCTTGGAGTCAGTCAGCGCAGGGCCAGAGAGGGACAGCATAGCATAGTTTTAGGAGCTCTCTTTTGTTTGAATGTTCTGTATCTGATTGTCAAGATAAATTAAATACAGATGTTAAACTTGGAGAATCTTTGTCTGATTTCTGTACCAAATTTTGAACACGTCAGTCAAATCTTTTTTTTGGCCCACATGGGTCTGCGGCCTGCCTCGGTCCAGTCCTGGGCCTGCGGCCTGCCTCGGTCCAGTCCTGGGTCTGCGGCCTGCCTCGGTCCAGTCCTGGGTCTGCGGCCTGCCTCGGTCCAGTCCTGGGTCTGCGGCCTGCCTCGGTCCGGTCCTGGGTCTGCGGCCTCAGTCAGTCCGGTCCTGGATCTACAGCCTCAGTCCTGTACTGGGTCTACAGCCTCAGTCCTGGGTCTACAGCCAGGATTGATATTTCAAACCAAACAAAACAGAAATGATGGCCTCCTCCCAAACAGACCTCTCTCCTGTTCCCGGTGCAGGTGTGTGTCCATTCATAATCTCCTGTACCACACACACACACACACACACACACAGGCCCACAATGCATTACTCCTGCATTAAGGTGGATCCAGTTGAGCACTTTTTATCCCTTATTTTAATCTACACCGAATCATGGAATTTAATAATCACAGTATTTAGAACTTAATTTATTGACTAAAATATTTTTAAAAACAAATAGTCAAAAATGAAATAAAAAAACAGGTGGAACTCTTTGGTTAAGGACTTCATGCATTCTTATTCGTCATAAAAAATATTAATAGACAAAAGCTGTAACATACATTATTTATGTGTGTTACAGTAAAGACCATTTACTGTCAAATACATTTTAAAAAAGAAAAACTTATGTATTCATTAAAAATATAAAAAACTCACAAATGTTGAAATCAAAGTCTGCAGCAGTTAGACATGGTCATTATTTATAGTGTCTGAGAGTTTGGTGTTCATGGCTTCAGTAAAAGATATTGTTCGTTTACAGCTGGTCTGGACATTTGTTGACGGTCCCTAAGAGCTTTTCTCTGAACTTGCAGCAATGATTTCTCTGCATTAAAACAATGAAAATGTGATCATTTTGGCACAATTACTTTTGTTTAACTAAGTAGCTTTGGTGAGCTTTTGACCGCAGAAGTCCGAATCTGACGCTAACTTTACCCAAACTTCTGATGCTTTGGGCCACGCTGGCGATTGATCAGGCCTACGCCTCCTTTGACTCTGATTGGCCGAAAGGTAGAAGCTTAAACTGTGATTACCGTGTGTGACATGCAGTGAGTGAGTGATGCATTTAAGGTGGCTCTGAAAATACGGGACAAAAGCCGTCCTGTATCCATTCAATACGGGACAAAAGCCTAGTTTTTCTAAAATACGGGACAATTCTGTGTTTCAAGGGACGGTTGGCCACCCTACCCACATGTAGCAGGAAACTCATCAGTTTTAGAATCAGACCATAGCTGCTCCGAGGGATAATGGCCACAAACTTCCACTCTAAATACGACATGAATCACTTCCTGCTTTGGCCCCCTCGTCGTCCAATCACAGCGCAGCGTCCCCTTGATCAGTGCGGCCGCTTTCGAACAACTCATTACTCTTTGATTTGACGCCGTTCACGCTTCGTTCCTTCCGCTTTAAGAAACACATCTGTCTAAACAAGTGACTTTATCGTTAGTAACTTTCACTATGATCTAAAAAGGATGTTTCTGGCCTCGTTTCAGTTTCGGCCCCAGAGCGATGAAAGAGACCCCCCGCAGTGAGAGAGACCCCCCCCGCGATGACGCCTCCTCCACGGCTTGTTACTGTAAACACGAGGCTCATTAGAAGAAAACGCTCTCACACTGTACACAATAAATATAAATCTGCATCGAGGAGGCTCCGTCGCACAGTCAGGGGCCCGCCTCAGGGGCCCGCCTCAGTTCTGGGTCGGGCGTCTTTGAAGAGAACCACAAAGGACGGTCTCTGAAGTCTGTCCGTCAAGAAAACCAACAAATAACCACCATTTCACACTTCAAGACCACAAAACATAAGGATTTCAGATTACAGCCTCAGTCCCCGGTCTACAGCCTCAGTCCTGGGTCTACAGCCTCAGTCCCCGGTCTACAGCCTCAGTCCTGGGTCTACAGCCTCAGTCCTGGGTCTACAGCCTCAGTCCCGGGTCTACAGCCTCAGTCCCGGGTCTACAGCCTCAGTCCTGGGTCTACAGCCTCAGTCCTGGGTCTACAGCCTCAGTCCCGGGTCTACAGCCTCAGTCCTGGGTCTACAGCCTCAGTCCCGGGTCTACAGCCTCAGTCCTGGGTCTACAGCCTCAGTCCCGGGTCTACAGCCTCAGTCCTGGGTCTACAGCCTCAGTCCTGGGTCTACAGCCTCAGTCCTGGGTCTACAGCCTCAGTCCTGGGTCTACAGCCTCAGTCCTGGGTCTACAGCCTCAGTCCTGGGTCTACAGCCTCAGTCCTGGGTCTACATGCCTGGACAGCTGGTCCTTGAGTGCGGACTAGACCAGATCCCGAGGAAAAAGAAGTAAAAAGGCTTAATTCTTTGGGGATTAGGGGAAACTTCTGACCCTAATCTGCTCATTTGGCATTCCTTCCATTAGCACTTTAAAAACATAAGTCTCCAAATCTACTCCGAGCTTTTAACGACAGAGTTGAACAGGCTTTGACTGATGTCACGCAGAACCCGGGTCCAAAGGAAACAGACCCAAACAGATTCAAATCATCAAAGAACAACACTCAGACCCAGCCTCAGACCCAGCCTCAGACCCAGCCTCAGACCCAGCCTCAGACCCAGCCTCAGACCCAGCCTCAGACCCAGCCTCAGACCCAGCCTCAGACCCAGCCTCAGACCCAGCCTCAGACCCAGCCTCAGACCCAGCCTCAGACCCAGCTTCAGACCCAGCTTCAGACCCAGCCTCAGACCCAGCCTCAGACCCAGCCTCAGACCCAGCCTCAGACCCAGCTTCAGACCCAGCCTCAGACCCAGCCTCAGACCCAGCCTCAGACTGACCCAGCCTGAAAAATTATAAATATTATATACACAAGAGAAACACTGGAAAAGGAGAGGGAAGAACAAAGGCAGACTTTACACATTCACAATTCCCTTTTTCACCGATATCGTTCTCAGTGGTCTCAGTATTTAGGGCTCATCCAGCGAGACTAAGTCTGAACCCAGCGAGAGACTCAGTCTGAACCCAGCGAGAGACTCAGTCTGAACCCAGCGAGAGACTCAGTCTGAACCCAGCGTCGCTAGTTTCTGTGCACATGAGAGAAGCCGCTGGTCGACTGCAGTACGACAGGAGTATGACCAAATCAGATGGATAAAAACACTTTAGTTTAGCACATACATCACAATATTATGATTTACAAATTTTACAATTATTCTCCAAAACCACAGACAGGGCCCAGATCCACACCAGCAAAGACACGGGACCATGTAGAATACCAGAAACACCACAGCACAATCGAAGAACCGCAGTCACACTTTAGTTTATTCCTCACTCGTTCATAGCTAATTAAGATAATTAGTGTATAGTTGATCTTAATTGGTGTTCACTAAGCAGGTATTAGTCCTCATTCTCCACCAAGGTTAGGGAACACTGGTTAGCACTTCGTTAGCCGTTAGCATTTATGGAGGGCTAATCTAAAGTGTTTCCAAAACTGTTTATTGTCCTAAACACAAGCATCAAATCCATCATGAACATTTCTGAGTCAGACTGAAGCAACAGCAGAGAGAGAGACAGAGAGACAGAGAGAGAGAGAGAGACAGAGAGAGAGAGAGAGAGACAGAGAGAGAGAGAGAGTGAGACAGAGAGAGAGAGACAGAGAGAGAGAGAGAGCGAGCATGACGAGAGAGAGAGAGAGAGAGACAGAGAGAGAGAGAGAGACAGAGACAGAGAGAGAGACAGACAGAGATAGAGAGAGAGACAGAGAGAGAGACAGAGAGAGAGAGAGAGACAGAGATAGAGAGAGAGACAGAGAGAGAGACAGAGACAGAGAGAGAGAGAGACAGAGAGAGAGAGAGAGAGCATGACAAGAGAGAGAGAGAGAGAGACAGAGATAGAGAGAGAGACAGAGAGAGAGACAGAGACAGAGAGAGAGAGAGAGACAGAGAGAGAGAGAGAGAGCATGACAAGAGAGAGAGAGAGAGAGAGACAGAGAGAGAGAGAGAGAGAGAGAGAGAGAGAGAGAGAGAGAGAGAGAGAGAGAGAGAGAGAGAGAGAGAGAGAGAGAGAGAGAGAGAGCGAGCATGACGAGAGAGAGAGAGAGAGAGAGACAGAGAGAGAGAGAGAGAGAGAGAGAGAGAGAGAGAGCGAGAGAGCGAGCATGACAAGAGAGACAGAGAGAGAGTGAGAGAGAGAGACAGAGTCAGAGAGAGTGAGAGAGAGACAGAGTGAGAGAGAGAGAGGCAGAGAGACAGAGAGAGAGAGACAGAGAGAGAGCGAGCATGACGAGACAGAGAGAGAGACAGAGAGAGAGCGGGACAAGAGTGAGAGAGAAAGAGTGAGAGAGAGAGACAGAGAGAGAGACATAGAGAGAGCGGGACAAGAGTGAGAGAGAAAGAGTGAGAGAGAGACACTGACACAGACCTGGCTCGGAGCAGTTCTTGGACTGTGTGTCGTTGTCCAGGTCCGAGGCCATGAGGCGCCGTCCCCATCGCTCCAGCGCCGGGTCCCCGTCCTCCATCACCATACTGTGACCTGCGGGACAGAGGACCAGTAAGACACACCATGTGACCCACACGCGGTACCATGGAGATTAGACATGTTTTGTTCATTCAAAACACAAACACAATAGCAAACACATGAGTCCATAAGGAGCGAGAAATGTTGCTAAATGTTCATCTTAAATGTCTCGGCAACTCAAGAAAACCAAAAAGAAGAGAGAGCACAGCGTAGTGGGAGAGAGGGGTCGGGTCAGAGAGAGTTTGGGCCTGTGTCAGGTCCTAGAACAGTTCCAGGACAGGGGCAGAGAAAGGAAAACAAGGAACCTAAAGTAGGAATTTACTTTGGCTCAAGGCGCAAACATGTGAGGTCTCTGGTGCACACTGGGGACTTTTGCACGAGTATTCCACTGTGGTTTTACTGCACATGACAAACAGACTGAATATGAAAAGACAGCGAGAGAGTGTGGGAGTGAGAGAGAGATACAGAGAGATTGAGTGTGAGAGAGACGGAGACAGAGACAGAAAGAGAGAGAGACGGAGACAGAGACAGAAAGAGAGAGAGACGGAGACAGAGACAGAAAGAGAGAGAGACGGAGACAGAGAGACAGAATGAGAGAGAGAGACGGAGACAGAATGAGAGAGAGAGACGGAGACAGAGACAGAATGAGAGAGACAGAATGAGAAGAGAGAGAGAGACGGAGACAGAATGAGAGAGAGAGACGGAGACATAGACAGAATGAGAGAGACAGAATGAGAAGAGAGAGAGAGACGGAGACAGAATGAGAGAGAGAGACGGAGACGGAGACAGAATGAGAAGAGAGAGACGGAGACAGAGACAGAATGAGAAGAGAGACTGAGACAGAGACAGAATGAGAGAGAGAGACGGAGACAGAGACAGAATGAGAGAGAGAGACGGAGACAGAATGAGAGAGAGAGACGGAGACAGAATGAGAGAGAGAGACGGAGACAGAATGAGAGAGAGAGACGGAGACAGAATGAGAGAGAGAGACGGAGACAGAGACAGAATGAGAAAGAGAGACGGAGACAGAGACAGAATGAGAGAGAGACGGAGACAGAATGAGAGAGAGAGACGGAGACAGAGACAGAATGAGAAGAGAGAGACGGAGACAGAGACAGAATGAGAGAGAGAGACGGAGACAAAATGAGAGAGAGAGACGGAGACAGAGACAGAATGAGAGAGACAGAATGAGAAGAGAGAGAGAGACGGAGACAGAATGAGAGAGAGAGACGGAGACGGAGAGACAGAGAGAGAGAGACGGAGACAGAGAGACAGAATGAGAAGAGAGAGAGAGACGGAGACAGAATGAGAGAGAGAGACGGAGACGGAGAGACAGAGAGAGAGAGACGGAGACAGAGAGACAGAATGAGAGAGAGATGGTTGCGCAGAAAGTAAAACAAGGAACCTAAAGTAGGAATTTACTTTGGCTCAAGGCACGTTGTAACTTCTCTGGTGCACACTGGGGACTTTTGCACGAGTATTCCACTGTGGTTTTACTGCACATGACTGCACTCAAAACTGAATATGAAAAGACATTTAGCAGCGACTGTAAAGGATTTTGATTGATAGTTACCATGGAAACTATCAAAGTCACATCCCAAACGCCAGAGTGAACGGATGGAAAATCTGTCAATGGCTGCAGTGAGGCCCTCTCTCCGCTTGATGGGACCAGGACCAGGACCAGGATCAGGACCAGGACCATGTGAGCCCCTTTAATCTGCCTGAAAAGTTGATGACTGAGCCGTTTGGAGCTGGCCGTGGTGCCGCGTCATGCAGGCAGCTGTTGGCCCATTATGTTATAGAGGGAGGAGGGGGGAGAGAGAGGGGGAGAGGGGGAGAGAGGGAGAGCAGGGAGGGGGAGAGGGAGAGAGGGGGAGAGAGAGGGGGAGAGAGAGGGGGAGAGAGAGGGGGAGAGAGGGAGAGCGGGGAGAGAGGGTGCCACTTTAACTGCTCTTAAGCTGCTGTGTAATGAGGACGCGCACAAACAGCACTCTATAATCATTACGTAAAGTGAAGCCGCAGAGAGAGAGAGCGAGCGAGAGAGCGAGAGCGAGAGCGAGAGAGCGAGAGCGAGAGCGAGAGAGCGAGAGCGAGAGCGAGAGCGAGAGCGAGAGAGCGAGAGCGAGAGAGCGAGAGCGAGAGAGCGAGAGCGAGAGAGCGAGAGAGCGAGAGAGCGAGCGCGAGAGAGCGAGAGCGAGAGCGAGAGAGCGAGAGAGCGAGAGAGCGAGCGCGAGAGAGCGAGAGCGAGAGCGAGAGCGAGAGCGAGAGCGAGAGCGAGAGAGCTGCAGGCACAGGGTCAGCACGGACTCTACTCTCTCTGTGTACTAGGTATTATATAGATATTATATATATTATATACACTTGTATTACGACTGTTAGAAAAAGTAGCTCTCTGCCATTTCTGTTTTATAAAAGTAGCTTTAAGCTGCGTTCAGACCCGATCATGCTGCGTCTGTTTTCAATGCAAAGTCTACGGTGACGCGCGTAGACTGTTCGACCGTTCGACCGTTCAGTAGAGACGCACAGACTGCGTCTCGTCTCTACTGAACAGTCCGTGCGTCTCTACTGAACGGTCCGTGCGTCTCTACTGAACGGTCCGTGCGTCTCTACTGAACGGTCCGTGCGTCTCTACTGAACGGTCCGTGCGTCTCTACTGAACAGTCCGTGCGTCTCTACTGAACGGTCCGTGCGTGCCGAGCAATCCGTGCGTCCACGTCTACCTTTCTCCAGAGTCCATTTTTATACAAGTACAAACCATTTCTGATCCATGACTCCAAGATAAACCTTTTAAAACCATCACCATGGTAACGGGCCAGTTCAGCGTTAGATACTGGTGTCATGGCAGCACTTCATCCATTTGACCTCGATCAAAAATGTTTAACTACAATGATCACGATAAAAAGTTATTAGTTGTTTAGCCGACCCCTGTGTGTGTGTTTATAAATGTTTGTATATGCATGTGTGTATATGTGTGTGTAATAATAAAAATTATATATATATATATATATATATATATGTGTGTATATATGTGTATGTTTGTATATATATGTGTGTGTATATATGTGTGTGTGTATATATATGTGTGTGTGTGTATGTAAAATATGTATATATTAGTTTTCAAAAATGTTGATACTGATTTGTCCTCGTGCACCATGACCGCGCTGTAGAAGAATAACTCTCTCGCTCTGGTCTCTCTCCTTTCCCTCTCGCTCTGGTCTCTCTCCTTTCCCTCTCGCTCTGGTCTCCCTCCTTTCCCTCTCGCTCTGGTCCCTCTCGCTCTGGTCCCTCTCGCTCTGGTCCCTCTCGCTCTGGTCCCTCTCGCTCTGGTCCCTCTCGCTCTGGTCCCTCTCGCTCTGGTCCCTCTCGCTCTGGTCTCTCTCGCTCTGGTCTCTCTTTCTCTCTCGCTCTGGTCTCTCTTTCTCTCTCGCTCTGGTCTCTTTCTCTCTCGCTCTGGTCTCTCTTTCTCCCTCGCTCTGGTCTCTCTTTCTCTCTCGCTCTGGTCTCTCTTTCTCTCTCGCTCTGGTCTCTCTCCTTTCTCTCGCGCTCTGGTCTCTCTCCTTTCTCTCCTTTCTCGCTCTGGTCCCTCCTTTCTCGCTCTGGTCTCTCTCCTTTCTCTTTCTCGCTCTGGTCTCTCTCCATTCTCCCTCTCGCTCTGATCTCTCCTTTATCTCGGGTCTCTCTCGCTCTGGTCTCTCTCCCGCTCCGGTCTTTTTCCTGATGAAACAAAAGGCAGTGTCTGAGTTCCACCTCTGCGTCTGTTCCGCCTCTGGGGCAGCCGTGGCCTTCAGCGCCTCACATGATCATTGTGTGCTCATGGTCAGGTGACGCGCTCGTGGTCAGAACAAAGACTCCGCTTCAGCCTCAGACTGAAACTCACTTTTGGATTTATGAAGTTTGTTGCTTTTTGTTCAAGGGAACTCCCAGAGAAGCAGCGTTAGCATTAGCATAGCACCAAAACATGTAAAAGTGTGTCTGGGTTTGAATCACAGTAAAAAGGAGAATTACCATATATTTTATAATAAACGGATAGCAGCAATTCTTGTGTTTCATGAACCTGGCCAGTAGGGGGCGCATGAGCAGAGGTGGGACAGTTTTGCTCCCATTGAAAACCATGTAAAGTCTGTTTTGGAGTCAAAGGCTCTCCTCCTGTGCAGTGTACGGTTGTTGGAACAGTCTTAATCGGGGACACTCAACTCTAAGGAAGTACTAACAAATATTTCTCTAAAGAGTCTTGATTTTGGGCATTTTTGGGGAAAAAAACAGAAGAAATTGGTGCGTTTCATTAGGGTGGCCTGCAGGGGGCGCTTATCTGGGAAAGCCTTGATCCACCTCGCTGCCTCATTCCAGTGATTTTTTCAAAGTGTCCTCCTTTATATGAGACCACAGTTGGAACATGAAGAAACTCTGTCTTTCTTTCTATTTGTGCGGTTGCTACAAACGTTCACTGCACAAAAATATGCTTCTTCTTCTACTATATCTCCGTGTATAATCCACTTCTACTATATTCTCACGTGTATAAACCCTTCTTTCTCCTCTTCTTCTAGGACTGCAACCCACCGCCGATGATACGTCAACCCACCTGTCCTACGTTTGTTTAATCAACTGCCCCGACGAGTCATGGAACAAATTACACAAGAATAAACCCGTAAGATTTATTCAATGTCTATAGGTCCCCATCATTATAAAAGGGCCCAAATAGACCTTAAAAATTAAAAATAAACCTAATATCAATTAAAAGTCCTCCCCCCGTCAAGCAATAAAGGGCCCCCCCCAACCCTATAATAAATCATCCCCGTCATCCGTTAAAGGGCCCTAATCCGCCGCTCCGTCATCATTAAAGGGCCCCTAGAATCCACGAAAATCCGGTCAAATCATTAAAGAGGGCCCTATAAATCATCGAAATTCCGTCCAATCCCCATTTAAAAGGGCCCTAAAATAAACTAGCCCTAATATTCTGTCCCATCATTAAAGGGCCCTAAAATCCGTCATCATTAAAGGGCCCCTAAATTAAAAAACAAAGAAAAACATCCTAAAAAAATAATCCGTCATTAAAAAAGCCCCGCCCCAACTGTCATCATTAAAGGGGGCCCCTAAAAAAACTCAATCATAAACAAAGGCCCATACAAAGCTACAAAATAAGAAAATAATCAACCAATCAATACATCATTAAAAAGGGCCTTAATACAGTCCTGTCATCCTAAAAGGGCCCACACAATCAGTCCACAAAAAAATAACACTGCACATTTTCCACATACTAGAATCATATAAAACATAACAAACTGATAAACAGTCGTTACGTTTCAGCGAGATATTTGAAAATTTCTAAATTACTTTACTTTTTTCCTCCAGCCACTAAAATCTTGTTATGTTTATCCATTTCAATGTCCCAGCCCTCGCCTCGCTCGTTTCACCACCCACTCAAAGTAAAATCTGAGATTTCCCGGGCCGCCAAAAACTTTCACGTAGTGGAGCTAATATAATCCACTGGTAAAGGTAAACCATGGTGTGCGGCAGAAAACCTACAAAAGGTCTCCCGGATAATGATTCCTCTTCTCAAAAAAAATCATTAACCCTTAAACCGAACGCCACCACCGACAAAAACAAAATAAAAAAACACACACCAGGTGTGGGAATATCTACTTTATAAACATTTAGAGAAAAAGTGTAGATAAGGTAATAGATATGATGATAGACCACCAACCTCAATTGTAACAATCTAATATTAAATTATATTATAAAATTCAGCAACTGTACTGATGGGCCCGCCACCCCAGTTAGAAGCATCGACTGACCATAATCTGCAAAAAACCTGAGGGTCACGGGCGAGCGTGGGTGGGGGCAGAGGCTGCAGAACCCCCAACCCAACAGCTGGACCCCACTTTTTTTGGAACAAACAAAACTGTATACATAATTGCTCCTTTGAGAGTAAGAACATAAGCCCAGGTCCTCCACACCCAGAGGAGGGAGGCAGGGGACAGGAGGGATCCAATCAACAGATGGTATTGGTTCATAGAGCAGAGGAAGGACCCAACCGATGGGTCATAAATGTGGAGGAGGGGGGGGGCAGAGACGTTGAAGGCCGCGCCATCACCCACCAAGAGAAGCCTCAGGGCCCCCCCGACCAACCCCGAGGCCAGCATAACCAGAGGGCCCAAAGACCCACCCACAATAACACCAGAGGGAGAGATGGGTCCAGACACCCGCCGCGGACCCTAACACCAGACCGAGGACCGAGGCCCGCCGAGCCCCCCTAGCCAGAACCCAGGGGAAGAGAGGATGTTAGGAGGAGGGGAGTGGTGTGAGGAAGGATCAAAAATAAACATAAATCAAAAAAAAAATAATAACTATACCCACCCCAAACTTCATATGCTTCAGAAGGACATCAAGAGAAGAGGAGGTATCATCCAAGAAAATCACGCTCAGAGAGAGGTCGGGCGCAAAAAAGAAAGAGGCAAGCGAGCGGCTCAGTATACATGAGATCAGCGCTTCATAAACTTTTTGTGACTTATTACAAAATCTGAGAGGGAGGCGGTCCAGATGAAACAGATCCAAATTGTACTGCCTTTGCTTTTCGCTTTACTTGCTGTACGTTCTATTTCTATGCTATTGCTTAGCTTATGACTTGCTATCCAACTCTGCTTTCTATTTATCGCCATAACTGCAAATGGCTTTGCTACTGCTTATTGCCCATAGTCCTCTTCACAGTGCTCTGGAGTTGGTGTTGAATCTTCTAAAAACAAACAATAGCTGTCTTTAAACCACCTGGACACACCTCAGGCCCACCGCTAAAAACCGGGGCCTGGACAAATTACGACAAAAATTTTGTTTTTTTTTAATTTTTTCTTTTTTTATTATTTTTTTTTTATCTCTTTTTTGTTGGTATTTTTTTTTTTTTTATTTTTATTTTTTTTTTTTTTTTCTTTTTTTTTTTCCAGTGTTTAAAAAAAAAAAAAAAACAAAAAAAAAAAAAAAAATAATCTGAGATAAATAAATCTCCAACATCAAACTCCTTCCGCAACAACACGAAACTAACAGAGCACGGAAGGAGGGCGGCCCCCTGCGGCGCGCATAAGTAAAAACACAAAAACCTACTACACAAAACACACCCAAAAACAATTCACCGCAATCCCCCAGCACTGTACCACACCAACCAGTCCACGGGGCTGTAGACAGACAAGGCTCAGTAAGATATAGAACCAGCATCTAAACAAACTTAAACACCCCGTCCCCGCCATCCCCAACTCCCAGAGCAGGTCCAAATAAGACTGTTCCATTTAAATAAACATTCTGATATCTGGAAACTCAAGATTAAGTCAACAAAAGTTATGAAGGCCTGACATGTATCAGTGAGCATGAAAGGAGTCCAAATAAGAAAGTTATTATATTTTTATTATATATTGATTATGGTTATTTTTTTTTATTTTTATTATTTTGTTTATGATCTAACATCTCTCTATCTCTGGCTTGGTCTGGCCTCGTGCAGGGGTCTGGCCCTCTCCGTCCCCTCAACATCCTCTGGTCTGGCCTCTGTGCCTGGGCTGGGACGTCAGGGTCTGGCCTCTTCTCTCCTACCTTCACTCTGGTCTGGGTCATCCCTCACTCCTCGCCCCCCTCCCCTGCTCACGCACAAACATTTATGGAACATCGGTCTCTCATCACTTCTGCTGATCCCCAACCTTCTGAATCCAATACCAATCTGTTTGATTCTGATCTGTGTAGGAGTACTTTACCACCCCACACACCTCAAAGGGCGGGGGCACTAAGTAGAAACATATGACCAAAAGTGGGTGACCCTACTGAGCAGATCGGACGGCCTCTCAGAGCCCAAGCCCCTTCTTCTTCTCTTCCCCACTCTCCCTGAACTACAGGATGCCAGATATTGCATACGACAAATCTCTAACTGGAGACCATCAAACCAGCAGCTGAATAGACAAGAGTTTTGACCACAACACAACTAACGCCAACCCACACCATTTTTATTATTTTTTATATCCTTTCTTTTTTTGTTATTTTTTTTTATTTTTTACACAAGGATAGAAATCCTGGTTTTATTCCTAGTTATGGATCGTTAAATCTGATTTGATAATCAAATAAGCACGAGACCTTTTATAAGGAGTCTGCGGCCCCCTGGTAACAATTTACCTTTTACCATGAGGATTAGCTCCACACAGTGAGTTTCAGGGCGCCCGGGCGGGAATCACAGACTTATCTGATTCGGTGAAACGATTGCGGGCGTGACACATAGCCCTGCCGCAGGCCCCCCACCCCCGTCAAACGCGGGCAGCCCCACCAAATAACGCCCTACCACACAGCACAGAAACTCGACCTGTATCACCTAAACCCGCCCACCATTCCCCTTCGCCTGCAACCAACAACAAACCCTGCAAGACTGGCCCTAAACCGCTGACCGACACCGGCCCAATCACCCATATGCCAGTCATCGGGCCTCCCTAATAATCCAGCTTCTGCCCATATCCACCAGCCTATGCCGCGATTGGGGCCTAAAATAATAAAGCCGGAGATACGGGCCGCCCATATACAAGAGAGACGTCAACGGCCCTTTAAAAGCATACAGATTAGGGGCCCTAAACCAGTATGACGGGAATCGTCCCTAAACAAGCTGACGGCTATAAGGGCCCTATAAGATTCTAATAGGGGCCCAAACAAAGCAGCCGGCATAAAGTAAGGGCCCTAACCCAGCTGCCCCGTGCAACGTGGGTGCCCAAACCCAGTGAAGCCGAGCACGTCCCGCCCCATCAAACGAACTCAAGAGAGATCCATGACTTCGGGACAGAGCAACAACAAACGAAGACACGTGACTTTCCAGGCGGTGCAGTCCTAGATAAGTGGAAACTTATTACCACGCGAAATAGTAAAGTGTTTTATTCCACGTAGATATAGTAAAGAAGAGGTTTTATTAAATTAATTTATTTATTTAATTTAAATAAATTAACACGGATCTATAGTAAAGAAGAAGCATCATTTAAGTGCCGTGAACGTTTGTTAGCAACCGCAACAACAAGCAAAGAAAGAGCAGAGTTTCTTCATGTTCCAACTGTGGTCTCATAAAAAAGAGGAGACACTTTGAAAAAAACACTGGAATTGGAGGCAGCGGAGTGGGGATCAAGGCATTTCCCAGATAAGCGCCCCCAGCAAGGGCCTACCCAAAAGGAAACCAACCAATTTCTTCTTCCTTATTCTTCCTCTTCTTCTTACATAATTTTCTTCCTTTTCTTCTTCTGTTTTTTTCCCCTTTTTTATTTTTTCCCCAAAAATGCCCAAAAAATTCAAGACTCTATAAGAGAAATATTGTTAGTACAATCCTTAGAGTTGAGTGTCCCCCGAATAAGACTGTTCCAGACAACCGTAAACACAGGCCCCAGGAGGAGAGCCTTTGACCCCAGGACTCCAAAACAGACTTTACATGGTTTTCACACCACTGGGAGCAAACCATGTTCCCAACCTCAGCACATGCGCCCCCCCCCTACAGGTCAGGTACCATGAAAACACCACGAATAGTGCTGCTAATCTCGCTATAGATCCTTTTTTATTAAAATATAAGTAACATGTCTCTCCACGCCATTTTTTTTTTATTATTTATATTTTTTTTTTTTTATTTATATTAATAATTTTTACTGTGATTTCCAACCCAGACACCCTTTTTACATGTATTGGGGTGCTAAGGGGCTAAGCAAACGCTGCTTCTTCCTTTCTTTCTCTGGGAGTTCCCCCTTGACAAAAAGCCCAACAAACCCTTCATAAACCAAAAGTGAGTTTCAGTCAAGCTAGACGGCGGAGTCATTTTGTTGTGTATCTGACGACACGGAGCGCGTCACCCACCTGAGACCATGAGCAAACAAAATGATCATGTGCGGCGGCTGAAGGGGCCACGGCTTGCCCCAGAGGCGGAACAAGACCGCAAGAGGTGGCACTCCCGACAAGACCAAACAAACACAGACACCCTGCCAGCCCATTATTGTTTTCCCAACCCACCATACCCTCCACAACCACCACAGGAAAAAGAAACGGAGCGGCAGGGCGGAGAGGACGGGAGAAGAAGACCCTCATGGGAGCGAAGAGGAAAAAAAACCCGCGATCAAAGGAGAGGAAGAACAGTCGACTGGGAGCGAGAGGGAGACTGGAGCGAGAGGACCCAGCCCATGGTGACCGGCCTGCGCCCGCTCCCGTGAGCGCGACCCGCTTGCGTGACGCCCTGGCGGTCCCCCCTGCTCGTCGCCTCCCTGCTCTCCCCGTCGCGCCTCGGCTGAGCGCCCCGCGTGCGCGCGCGCCACCCCACCCCCCCCTGCTCTTCGCCTCCGCGCGCGCTGCTGCCCATCTCGAGCCCCTCTCTCGCGCTGCCCGCGCGCCCCGCGTCTCTGTCTCGTCCGCGCTGTCCCCGCTCTTCGGTAGCGCGCCTCGCCCCGGCGTTGTCTCGCTCCCTCTCCCCCTCGCGCGCGCGCCATTCGCTCCCGAGACGCCGAGCGCTCCCAGCGCGAAGACGTGATCCCCTGGTACGCGCTCGGTCCCCCGCGCGCGGGTGACCAGAGGCCGACGGGACTCAGAGGCGTGGAGACGGGGCCCAGAGCGCGAAGGGACCAGAGCAGAAGAGGGAGGCGAGGAGTGGGCCGAGAGCGAGAGGGAAAAGGAGGGAGGAACCAGAGGCGAGAGGTGATAGAGAGAGAGACCAGTGCGAGAGGGAATAGGAGAGGAGCACCCAGAGCGATGAGAGTATATTCCTTCAACAAACAAGCAAAACAACAAAAAAAATACCAAAGAACAGCGCGGTCCTTACATGGGGCACGAGGACAAATCATATCCATCAACATATTAATTTGAATACTAATATATACTATATTTTTATCATCATACACACACACTACATATCACTACACCACCAAGCAACAACACACTATATACAACAACACAATTATATACACACATACCACATAGATCTAGCACACTTTTTGTATATATATATAATATTATATAGATTTTATTATTATATATCACACAAAACCCAGCATATACACACATGCTTATTCAAACATTTATAAACAAACTCCACTAAAATCACTAGGGGTTCGGCTATGCGACATCTAATAACTTTTTAATAAAATCGTGATCATTGTAAGTTAAACATTTTGTGATCGAGGTCTAAATAGGATGTCAGTGCTGCTGCCATGACAAAAACCAGTATCTAATACCGCTGACTGGCCGGCCCGTAGACCATGGTGGATGGTGTCTTAAAATAGGTTTGATAGCTAGGAGTCATGGATCAGAAATGTTTGAACTTGTATAAAAATGGACTCAGGAGAAAGGTAGACGTGGACGCACGGATTGCTCGGCACGCACGGACCGTTCAGTAGAGACGCACGGACTGTTTCAGTAGAGACGCACGGACCGTTCAGTATAGAGACGCACGGACCGTTCATAAGAGCCCACGGACCGTGTCAGTAGAGACGCACCGTACCGTTCAGTAGAGACGCACGACTGTTCAGTAGAGACGAGACGCAGTCTGTGCGTCCTCAACTGAAAGGTCGAAACGTCCGAACAGTCTACGCGCGTCAACCGTAGACTTTCATTGAAAACAGACGCAGCATGATCCAGGTCAGAAACGAAGCATAAAGCTACTTATATAAAACAGAAATGCAGAGAGCTACTTTTTCTAACATCGAAATAAAAGTGTAAACAATACAAAAAACATCTATATAATACCTAGTACACGGAGGGGAAGAGAGAGTAGAGTCCGGGCTGACCCTGTGCCATGCCGCTACACCCGCCTCTCAACCCTTCTACATACCTCTCATCTCGACTCCCCCCCTCTCGCATCTCCCACCTTGGTCCGCACGCTCACCCCGCCCGCCCAGATCTCCCTCCTCCCCGTCCAACTTCGGCTCCTCTCTCGCTCTCGGTCTCTGGCTCATCCCCTCACTCGCGATCTTCATTCGCGGCTCACGGCCTCGCCCATCATACCTCGCTCTCTAGTCACCCACCCTCCCGGTCCCCCCCGCAACCCCCTCTTCCGACTCCTACCCGCTACCTCCACCGCATGTCCCCCTACACACCGCCACCCTCTCCCCAACTCCCCCTTCCCCCACTCCCCGCCCCCGTCCCTCAACCGTACCCCTCCCCCCCAGCTCCTCCCCTCGGCCAACTTACAATCAAACGCACTCTAGCACCCACTCGCTCTCCTCTTCAAGGACCCATCGCAATAACAACACACGAGCGCTCAGCTACCGGTCCGCTTCCCTCAACTCATCGCTCTCCCCAACTCCGCTTCGATCTCCACTTTCCCCAACTCCCTGACTCGCCTCACCTAGGCCACGCTTTCCACACGTCTCGGCCTCGTCATTTCCCACAACTCCTTATCCGACTCCCAGCTCTCCTCACATCCCCAACCCTCTCTCTCTCGTCAGCTCAGTCAGATACCTCGTACTCTCAAAGGCTCACTATCGCCTCCTCCGTCACTCCGCGCACGTCAGCGCGCTCTCCTCTCAGCTCCTCTCTCCCCCTCTCTCTCCAGTAGCCACAATTGTCAACCAGGCGCAATCGCCTCTCCACTGACCTAATCGCACCTCTCCCTCATCGCTCATCCTCTACATCGCTTCTCATACCCCACGTCTCCACCGTCTAGTCCTCCAACCCCTCCTCGAACCCTCAGGCAGCTCATCTCCTCGCTCCTCATCCCCATCGTCACACCCTCGCTCTCTTCCTCCCTCCACATCCGGCCACACATACGGACACTATCTTCCCTCAGCTCTCCTTACGTCTCCGCTACTCGCTCTTCCCTCTCGATCACCAACTCCTAAGCTCAGCGTCTCACCAACGAGTTCAAACCACCTTCCCTTCCCGTCCTCTCGCCCTCAACTCGATCCCTCATCCCGGTCTCTCGGTCCATCCCCTCGCACTGTCGTCTCTGCCCGCACGTTCTCTGCCATCGGCTAAGCTCCTCTCCTCACCTCTCTGCCTTCCACTCGCCCACGGCCCCTCTCCCACCGCTCTCCATCGGCTCCGTGTCGCATCTCCTGACTCGCATCTGCGAACAAGAGAGCCTCCTCACCCTTCTATCACGCCCCGGCTCACCTCCCTCACGGGTCCCCACTCCCCTCCGTCTCCCCTCCACATGCTCCCCCCCTTCGCCTCCGCTCTCCGCCTCCCTCCGCATCACTCTCGGTGCTCCCTGTCAACTCTCGAGCCCCTCCGCCTCTCCAAAACTCCTCAGGATCGGTCACCTCCCTCCTCAGCTCCATATGCACTCACCTCATCTCCCTCCGCCTCTACGCTCAATCCCGCCTCGGCTCGACCTCCCCTCGGACCCTCTCGGCTCGAGCACTTCCCTCAGCACCACCTCGCCAAAAAAACCTCTCTCACCTCATCGCCTCTACAATCGCATCACACCTCTTCCCAAGCCTCCGCCACCTCCCCGGACTCGCCGCTCTCTCCCCGCTCTCCGGTAGGCTCTCCATCACCCATCCGTCCTCCTCCCGACGCTCTCACCCACTCATCGCCTCATCTCCTTCTCCGGTCCACTCATCCTCAACCTCTCGCCCCGAGCTCCAACTCGCTCGTCGTATCCTACCGGATCTCTCTCCTCAGCCTCTACCTCTACACTCCGGCATCATTCTCAGCTCCTCCCCTCTCTCACCTCACCTCCGCTCATCCCCGCTCATCCTCCCCTCTCGTCAACTCGTCCTCACGCTCCCCCCCGCCATCTCCTCCCTCCGCTCACTCTCTCTCTCTCTGTGCTCCCTCGTCTTCTCTTCGTCTTCACTTTTAAACGTAATTATTATAAAGCTGTTTTTGTTTTGTGCGCGAACCCTCATTAAACACATCACAGCGAACGAAGCAAGCTTAAGAAAGGAAGAGAAAGAAGCAATTAAAGGAGTGGGCATGACCCCTCTCTCACCCCCTCTCTGTCCCCAAATATCTCTTGCATTCTTACTCGCCTCTCCCCTCTCATCATCGGCACCCTCTCTCCTCCCCTCCTCCCTCCCCCCCACTCCTCCCCCCCTCCCCATACCCTCTCTCCCCCTCTCCTCCCCTCCCCCCTCCCCCCTCCCACCTTCGTCTCCCCCCCCTCACTCACTCTTCCCTCTCCCTCCTCCTCTCTCCTCCTCCCTCTCTCCTCTCCCCTCTCTCTCCTCTCCCCTCTCCTCCTCTCTCCTCCTCCTCTCCCTCTCCCTCCTCTCTCCTCTCCTCCTCCTCCTCTCCTCTCCCCTCCTCCTCTCCTCCCTCCTCTCCTCTCTCCTCCCTCTCTCCTCCTCTCCTCCCTCTCTCTCCTCCCTTCTCTCCTCTCCTCCTCCCCTCTCCCTCCCTCCCTCCTCTCCCTCCTCTCTCTCCTCTCCTCTCTCCCTCCTCTCCCTCTCCTCCTCTCCTCCTCCTCCTCTCTCCCCCTCCCCTCCCTCCTCTCCCTCTCCCTCTCTCCTCCCCTCTCCTCTCTCCCTCTCCTCCCTCCTCCCCTCTCCTCCCTCCTCTCTCCTCCTCTCCCCTCTCTCCCTCTCTCCTCCTCCCCTCCCTCCTCTCTCCTCCTCTCTCTCTCCCTCTCCCTCCTCTCCTCCCTCCTCTCCTCTCCTCCCTCCTCCTCCTCTCTCTCCCCTCTCCCTCTCCTCTCCTCCTCTCCTCCCTCTCCTCTCCTCTCCTCCTCCTCTCCTCCTCCTCCTCTCTCCTCTCTCCCTCCCCTCTCTCCTCCTCCCTCTCCTCCTCTCTCCTCTCTCCTCTCCTCCTCTCTCTCCCTCTCTCCTCCTCTCCTCCCTCCTCTCCTCCTCTCCCTCTCCCCTCTCCTCTCTCTCCTCCTCCTCTCCTCTCCCTCTCCCCTCCTCTCTCTCCCTCCTCTCTCTCCTCTCCTCTCCTCCCTCCTCCTCCCTCTCTCTCCCTCCTCCTCCTCTCTCTCCTCCTCCTCCCTCTCTCCCTCTCCCCTCTCTCCTCCTCCTCCTCTCTCCTCCTCTCCTCTCTCCCTCCACTCTCTCCTCCTCCCTCTCCTCTCTCCTCCTCTCCCTCTCCTCCTCTCTCTCCTCTCTCCTCTCCTCCTCCTCTCCCCTCTCTCCTCTCTCCACCCTCCTCTCTCTCCCTCTCCTCTCCCTCCTCTCTCTCCTCTCCCTCTCCTCTCTCTCTCTCCCTCCCTCTCTCCTCTCCTCTCTCTCCCTCCTCCTCCCTCTCTCTCCTCTCTCTCCCTCTCTCCTCCCTCTCTCCTCTCCTCCTCCTCTCTCCTCCTCCTCTCTCCTCTCCCTCCTCTCTCTCCCTCCTCTCCTCTCCCTCTCCTCCCTCTCTCTCCTCCCTCCTCTCTCTCTCTCTCTCTCCTCTCTCTCCTCTCTCCTCCCTCCCTCCTCTCTCTCCCTCTCTCCTCCTCTCCTCCCTCTCTCTCTCCCTCTCTCTCCCTCTCCTCCTCTCCCTCTCTCCTCCCCTCTCTCTCCCTCCTCTCCTCTCTCCCTCCTCTCTCCCTCTCTCCCCTCTCTCCCTCTCTCTCCTCCCCTCTCTCCTCTCCTCTCCTCTCTTCTCTCCTCTCTCCTCTCCTCCCTCTCCTCTCCCTCCCCTCCTCCCTCTCCTCTCCTCCCCTTCCCTCCCCTCCTCTCTCTCTCACTCCTCTCTCCTCTCTCGCTCTCCTCACTCCTCTCACCTCTCACTCTCCCTCCTCCACTCCCT